CCTGGGGTATTCTGTCGATCGCCTCATTATTGATGGTGGATGGGCGATTCAGTACAAAGTGGAAATGCTCAGCCCAACGCTGTAAAATCAGATTCCTCTCAGTGATGAGAGTTGCACCACTCGAATCCAATAAAGGGGAGCTTCCTGAGGGCTGAGGTCCATACAGGGATCTAAGAGCTTCATAGAACCGTTTGGCATCATTTCTATCAGCAAACTTCTGGATTTCATCTGCTTTGGCACTCAATCAGGAGTCCTGCATCTTGCGGAGCTTGCTCTGTACAATCCTGCGAGTGTTAGTAAAAGCATTTTTCTTTGCAGTTGAAGACGGGTCATTCTGATGTGAAACTGGTTTTTGCTATTAATATATCCCTTATATTTAAATAAATATTTTTTAAAAAATTCGGTTTAATTTTTATTGCAAAATATGCTCAAATGATTTAAATCTTAACAGTTTTGTACTCCACCAGTTTTGCAATATACATTTAAATACAAATGTAGGTTGTGGCAAAACGTAAGATTTAGATACTATATAAAATTATCTCCATTTTCTTTATCTATGAACCATGCTGTTCTATAGGTCAGGTGGAAAGTTATATACATGGTTGAAAGATTGCTAAACAATAATTTTATATAAAGCCAACCTTAATCAAAATAGATTAGTGCCTTTAAGTTCAATATGGTAATGATGACTTTATAAAAGAGATAAAAACTTGTTTGGAGGTTTAAAAATATATAAGTCATACAAGCAGAGCAGTATCCTTGAAAGCCTGAGATACAAGAAGATTAAAGAATCATACTGGTAAGGTTATAGTTTGCCAGATCCATTTGCAATACAATTATTTTTTCATTATTTTCAAAATGGCAAATATTCGCTAAATAAGACAGTAGGCAAACAATCAATCAAGAAATGCATTTCAAGGAACATAATTTATAAGTGCACACCATAAGACTACTATCAGAATACAATGTCCTAAAAATTGTGTTCTGAAATAATATCTATGTTTGTGCAAACATGATATACAAAGAGATATTAAAAATGTTTCAGAAATAATATATGTAAATTTAATTAACTTTACCTAAAACAAAACTAAGTAAATTGCAATCATGCATGCAACTTAGCTGTAGAACGCAAAAGTTCACTTAATATTTTTATGTAATGAAATAGAGCACAAGTTTGTGAACTAATCCCTGCAGTTTTCAGAAAGGCTTGCCACTGCCTCCATCCTAGTATCAATTTTAAAATTAATAAAGAAACCATGGATCATGTTTGTGATAAAGTAGAAACATTTATCAGTATTACACCTATTATAAACTAATTTCTGGATTAACCAACTAAATTAATTATACATTTAATTAAAATTCCATTATCTTTTAAACCAAAGTATCAGTCTCAAATAACACCTCTGCTTCCAAAAACATCTCTAGGCCTTTAAAAACCCCACTGACATTCGCAGAAGATAAAAACGCTAGATGACTGTAGCCATCTTCATAACCCAGTTTTAGATTGCCTTAGGCATAAAAGCTGGCTGAGTGATTTTGGGCCGGTGACTCTCTTTCAGGCCAACTCATCTTACAAGGTTGTTATTGGGGGTAAATAGGAGGACGAAGGAGTATTAGGTATATCTTGAATTATTTATAAAAAATAATAAAGGTGAGATAAAAACAATCTTTAGAAAACCAATGCATATCTGTTCAACTCTATATAGATAATTTAGCATATTTTCATGAATACCTATTGGCCTTAAAAGAACACTGAGAGGACTAGGAGAGGACTTCAGGGAAGACCATCTAGTACTAAATGAACAGAAAACTATAATAATAGTTAGGGTCACATTGCATTCACTGAGTTATATTTCTATATAAAATAGTTTTTTTAAAAAAAACTTTTATCACCTGTAATAATTTCAGAGAAAAATAAATATCATTGTTCAAGATACAATATTGATTCTCAGCATGAACAGCAACATTTGAACATCAAGAATTTAAAATTGCATATTGGCCACAACTATAACAAAATTCTAAGAACAAAACAATTCAGTGTTAACTAGTATTTGCCCCCCAAAAATACTTCCTAGCTACCTAGTATAAAATGAGAGAAAAAAACAAAAGTAAGAAAATAGACATACATAATTAGCCAGTACTGTTTACAAAGCAACATGGTTTTAAAAATGAAAAATTCTCTATATCCAAATTTCCTTCATTTTTATTCTGACATGAAATGCCCACGTCTCAGATTACAACTACAATACATTTAAATCAATTATTAGTGCATTTTCCAAGAAAATGGCTTACCTCAAATTCAGCATGCCTGTGAATATCTTCCGCTCTCTGCCTACTCAAGATAAATTCTGCTTCATTTGCTACCCTCACTAAATGATCCTTCATTGTTTGACTTAGCAACCTATAAATGCAAAATATTTAGGACAAAGAAATTGTGAATTTATAAAATAAAACATTTTATAATATTTAGCTACTGGAATAAACAGAGGCAATAATTGTGACTGACTATCTAAAACAAATTTCCTGTTAACTCCAAGAGATAGAGTTTTGTTTTCAGCAAGATGCAGATTCCATTATGCTGACTATTATACAAACGAGTTTCATCCTCATATAAGTATATAAGGAATATGTATTTGTTGCAAGTAGTACCAAATATATGTAGCTATTCTTGAAAAAAAGTAGAAATTGGAAATCTAATTGCACAAAGATAGTTAAATGATCAAAACAAATAAACAAATGCATATGGCAAATAAAAAATGAAATTCTAAAAATCCATTTCATAGATCAAATTTTTAATTCAAAGTACAAAACACTATTTAATTTTCTTTCTCCATTCTTTCAAATTATTTCCTTTTGATATCATTTCTACCTTCATCATTTCCTTTACCCCTTTTAATGTTCTGCTCAGTTATTTACTATGGTTTTATATCAGAAGTTATTGAAGTATTATGATTATGAACATAGAACATTGGCATTAACTTGTAGTTTATAGCAGCATAGTTCTCAACTAGCTGCATATTATATTCAAAACCAAATATATTTATGTGGTATTAAATCAATTAAAAATAATAATTAGAGTCTTTGTGAGGAAATGTATCCCAGATCAATTTTAATGAAAAATTATTGGGATACATTTCCTCACAAAACCTCTGTAATTATTTTATAATCAGTATAATAGATTTTGTTTTTATTCTACATTTTTATACAAATAATATGACTCATTATCTCACCATATCTATGCATTGAAGCCAGGCTTGCAAACCTTTATTATGCAACAAGGATGAATTATTTTGAAATTTGTAGATTTATTATTTAACTAATCATGGCTTATAATGCCTAAAAATCACTTCTGCTTTTCTTCCCTCTGTCTTTGCCCCCTCTTACTACCAATATTTAAGACAGATTTCAGAATCAACAAAAATATTTGAATTCAAAAGCTGAATAGTACAAACTATTAAATTTGGGTGCATTATACTATACAATGTAAGCATAATTTTTCTTAAATATATGTCAGTTTTATTACTGTTTACTTCTGAAATCTGTATATTTTTACAAATATATATTCTCTGCCAAGGTGGTAACAAATCCTGATGTAAATATATCAAGCAGAAATATTAAAATATAAAGCATGCCTTTAACACTAATATTAAAAATGCTAAAATATAGTTTTATAGACAAAAAACTTAATAGCATTTTATATTATATTATATTATATTATATTATATTATATTATATTATATTATATTATATTATATTATATTATATTATTATATTATAATTTTATATTATAATGTATTATTTTCAAATGTATTGTTATCTCTCTGTATAATTTTGATTGTTTCAGTTTAGTTCATTATTTCACTTAAAATAATTTTGAACTGAAAATCAATGCATTTTATCCAAATTTTGAAAAAGGCTTTACCCTCATATGCATTAGTCTTTGAACTCTAAAATTCACTGCTATTTTAACATACCCTGCTACTGAATACACACTTTTAGATTATTTAAAAATACTGATTTACCTTTTAGGAAAAATTTATAAAATCTGGGTGGGGATTAATGTCTTTGAGTGTCATGAATAAATAGAAAATGCAGAGAAAAACATAACTGGCTAGACCATCAGTTTCACTATCTGCGGATTATTTTGAAGCATAGCTCCCCTATGATATTTGTGTAGACTACTTCATCTTGAACATCTGAAGTTAGGAATGTAAAAGACTTGCACTTCAGAGGAGTTAGCTTCCAGATTCAGATATCAAAGACCATAACTTTTATTTTAGAAATAAAATTATATCCACATAAACATTATCTGCAATGCTTAGCAATGACTTACAGTTGCTTTATTTGGAAACATCTGTACTAAAAATGAACTTGAAAAACTGAATTAACATTTACTTTAAAATAACCAGGACCTTTTGTGAAACTATATGTTAAGGAATAATGCAAATTACAATGTATTTTTATATTTAAAATAGTTATGTATAAATGGTTATTTTTTTTAAAAAAAATGCTGATCTGAAAAAATATATCAATCCAATATACGTTCTAGCTCACCAAGAGTTATGTATTAGGCTCTGTTAATAGCTGACAAGCTATTGTATTTAAGCCAAAGAAAATATGACTGAGCCCTTGTAACTTACTACAATCAACTCAGAAGGGTTAAAGCAACATGTATCTTCTATAAACATACTGTGATTACAAGTAAAAAGAAGCTAAATCTTAAACTATTACCACAGAGTATTGAGGATGAAGAGTATTTAGAAACCAGATCAGACCTACAAAGTTAACTATCCAAAAGAATGGGTAGCATATTTCTAAATAAAAACATTTGAAAACTTAATTGTAAGTGATCAGAGGAGGCAAATTTGTATGCTTAATCACTACAAAACAATAGTATTAAAGCTAAGATGAGGTAAGGATACATTTAAGCTAACTAGGAAGTTACCTTCCTTCGTTGACAAGTTCAATGAAAGCTAGGCCTGCATTCTTCTGTATTGAGTTCTGCCATTCCTATAATACAAAAATGATAAAAAAGATAATTAAATGCATTAAAAGAAACATAATTGTTTTATTTAACTAGTAAAAATAAAAAATTAAAATTTTATGACAGATAAAAAAAGATCATGAACAAAATTCTAGAGCTGATAAAATATCACATAAGCTGAGTTCACTTATTGCCCTATAGCAGGGGTAGGCAACCTTGGCTCTTTTATGACTCATGGACTTCAACTCCCAGAATTCCTGAGTCAGCTATACTGACTCAGGAATTCTGGGAGTTGAAGTCCATGAGTCATAAAAGAGTCGAGGTTGCCTACCCCTGCCCTATAGTATTACAAGTTATTATGGCTAGCTTCATGCATGTCAAGCCAAGTAAAAAAAAACCAAACCAGAATGTGGGATAGGTGGCATATGAACCATTATCTGTCTAATATCTATTCCTAAATTTAAGTGAGTTATATGTTAAGTGAGTTTTGCTCCATTTTACAACCTTTCTTGCCACAGTTGTTAAGTGATTCACTGCAGTTGATAAGTTAGTAACCTGGTTAAGTGAATCTGGCTTCCCTGTTGAGTTTGCTTGTGAGAAAGTTGCAAAAGATGATCACACGACACAGCAACGGTCATAAGTATGAACCAGTAAATGTTTCCCCCATATGTATTTTAATAGTGGATGAGAGGGGAGAAGAATATAATGCCTATTGCCTGTTATATTTAATCCAACATTCTAACACGGTATACATATCCTATATTGCAATTAAATTCATGGAGCCAAGTGCACTGTTATGTCAAGATCTTTGTTATTCTTTTCCCTAAGGTGTTAATAAAAACAACAACAACAACAACAATAATAATAAAGTTGGAAGGGAACTTGGAGGTCATCTAGTCCAAACTCCTGCTCAGGCAGGAATCCCTATACCATTTCAGACAAATGGCTGTCAAGTCTCTTCTTAAAAACTTCCAGTGTTGGAGCATTCACCGCTTCTGGAGGCAGGTTGTTCCACTGGTTAATTGTTCTAACTGTCAGGAAGTTTCTCCTTAGTTCTAGGTTGCTTCTCTCCTTGATAAGTTTCCATTCATTGCTTCTTGTTCTGCCTTCAGGCACTTTGGAAAATAGCTTGACTCCCTCTTCTTTGTGGCAGCCCCTGAGATATTGGAACACTGCTATCATGTCTCCCCTCGTCCTTCTCTTCGTTAAACTACCCAATTCCAGCAACCGTTCCTTATATGTTTTAGCCTCCAGTCCCCTAATCATCTTTGTTGCTCTTCTCTGTACTCTTTCTAGAGTCTCAACATCTTTTTTACATCGTGGTGACCAAAACTGGATGCAGTATTCCAAGTGTGGCCTTACCAAGGCATTGTAAAGTGGTATTAATACCTCACGTGGCTTTAACCACTACGTTGGCTTTTTTGGCAGCTCAGCACACTGCTGGCTCATATTTAACTTATTGTCCACTAGGACTCCGAGGTCCCTCTCACAGTTACTACTATTGAGCAAGGTACCCCCCCATACTATACCTGTATATTTGATTTTTCTTGCCTAAATGTAGAATCTTACTTTTTTCACCATTGAATTTCATTTTGTTAGATAGCGCCCAGTGTTCAAGTCTGTCCAGATCCTCCTGTATCTTAAGCCTGTCTTCTGGAGTGTTGGCTATTCCTGCCAGCTTGGTGTTGTCTGCAAATTTGATGAGTTCCCCATCTATCCCCTCGTCCAAATCGTTGATGAAGATGTTGAAGAGCACTGGGCCCAGAACAGAGCCCTGGGGCATCCCACTACCCACTTCCCTCCATGTAGATGCGGTTCCATTGAGGACCACACGCTGAGTATGGCCGGTCAGCCAGCTACGAATCCATCTGGTGGTGATGCTGTCTAACCCACATTTTTCTATCTTATTGGGTAGTAGGTTGTGATCTACTTTATCAAATGCCTTACTGAAGTCCAAGTAAATTATATCCACACCATTCCTCTGATCCACTAATTTTGTCACTTGGTCAAAGAATGTAATAAGATTTGTCTGGCATGATCTGTCAATTAATGAAATCCAATAATTGTAACATCATTTCAGCAGTTTAAAAAAACTGCAACAAAAAACTGACAAATTCAACTCATAATTAACCCATATAGTGTGGCTGTAGTATTATTATTTACCCTTCTTGCTATCTTCACTTCTCCTTTATTGGTATTTTATTGGTATTATTATTATTATACAATATTATATTATACAAATTCCTTGTATGTCTGATCACACTTAGCCAAATAAAGTATTCAATTCAATTCAAAAATTTCATACCTATTATAAACTGATACTATTTCCTATTCCTATAAAATGTATCTTCCCTGTTTTCAATTTCTATGATCATACTAAAACTTATAGAAAATTTGTCAATATTTTATAACCAGGAGCAAGAATGTAAAATAGTATTAGACCAGTAATATAAGTTGCCAGAAAACCGATTGGGCAATAAATACAAGATCTACATCTAGGTAATCTTTTATAATTTAGAATCTTTAAAAATAGTTCCTAGAAATTGGAGTAAGAAGCTGGAATGTGATCAGCAGCAGATGAAAGTTTTGCTTTCATGTCAAGGCAATGTAGATCTAATCAGACACTTCAGATTCCTGACATATTGGACACCTCTGCTTAAAAAGAAACCTGAGATCTGAATACACATATATGGATGTGTATACAGTTTGTGTCCTATCAAGCACCAGATATAACAGTGTCTTTGGTTGGGGCAGACATGGAACTATGAACTTGTATGTACATTTGCATTCAAGAAGTTATTTTATGTTCATTATAATTACATTATTTTCTTCATCATTAGAAAACTGTCTCCTAATTAAATTATTTTCATTGGTCAATAGTATTTCCACTTCTTCCACTTCTAATTCTATTCCACCCTCCAGATTTTCCAACTAGCTGAGGAACCAGGATAAAGATGGCTTCCAAATCTCAATTCATGTATCACACAAAGTATCCTATGCTTTCCTGATGTTTAAATGTTCCTCTCTTCATGCTAAAGAATTGAATGGGTAGCCCATTAATGTGAAGTCAGAGGGCTGCCCATTCCAACTGTTTAGTATTGAACTTAATTATTTATGAAGGAATAGCATGTAACATTAAATTTTGATTGTTTATGGTAATCACATTGCCCAAAAAATTTAATTTGGCAATGAACCATCCATATATACTTCTCCAAGGATGTAACTTTGCCGAAAACTTTATCTGAGACACATTTTTCTCTTATATAATGCAAAGGATCTGCTTTCATAAAGTCATGATAAAAGTTGATAAAAGTTGCTCAAGGTCCACTCTTTTACAAGTTGCAACAGATGATCAACATTAAACCTATATCAAGCTTCTGGAGTTGAATTGTACAAATGTGTTCTATTAGTACACAGCCTGAATGTTTGGCAACTTCATTCTTCAAGACAAATGGCAGCTGCTGCCCTTTGAGGTCTCAAGTCAAGTCTTTAGGGAAGCTCAAAGCCCAAGTGGGGAAGGGGGAGGCCTGTTCATTAGAGACTGCTCCAGGCTAAAACGTTCAAGGCAGACATTAGAAATGTATGTAAGACTTTTTAATTATAAAATATAGTGAAATATAAGGAGTAAGTCATTCCATACCCTTTGTTATGTTACATTAATATTTGTATTCTAGTTATAGCGTCTGGCTTCCATCTAATCAACCATATTACTATGTCTACCCAAAAGGAACAATTATACAACCGGGTAGGCATACACACATTTTTATGTTATGAGCCACTTTGTGCCCAATAAATCCCCAATAGGCATACACACATTTTGTATGTGACATCCCATTTTCAATCAATGTCCATAGGAAAAAAACAGGGAAAATTTAGACCATTAGTGAATAAAGGAAAGGAAATGTAAATTCTGTGTGTGTCTAAGGCACTTTTGTTTTCCTCTTATATTATGATAAAGAAACAAGGAAAGAAATGCTGAAGACAGTATTTTTAAAAGGTATGAGATAATTCTATTAACTACTAAATCTACTTGATTTAAAATCAGATTGAGATTACTACAGAAAAATGTTTAACAACCATGATAGCTCAAAAAATGTAAAGAAAACAGTTTGGGAATGATTTATATGAATGCATAGTGCTGAAGTTAACTACAACTAACCCAATAAAATAAACCCTGTATTATTATACAGCAAGTAATAACCTTAGACAGAGAAACCAGAGCTCTTTCTGTTCTTTTGCATGCTCAGTTCCACAGCACACTACATTAAGAATTAAGTAAGTTGTAAATATGTCATACAGAAACAGCAGTCTTTAACTAAAAGCAGAAAACTCTCCTGCTGCTTAAGCCATTTTATGCTACACAATAGTATGCTACACAATAGTATGCTACACAATAGTATAACACCAGTTTATTGGGCAAACTTCCTATAAACTGGTTTTATACTATTGGGTAGCAAATTCCTGAAAAAACCTCATTATAGAATTTAATTCTAATACACAATAAACTTTTACCAGTAGTCATCCACTTACGACTGTACTTGAGACCACAATTTTGGTTGCAAGTTGTGATGGTCGTAAAGTCAGTCATCATGTGACAGGACCCAATGACTTTTTGGGACAGTCAGCGAATACCGTGATCCTTCAATAAATGCTGCAGTTGTTCACTACGGGTTGTTTTTTTTTGCCAGAAACTTAAAATAACTACATATTTCTGGCAGAAATGTTGTAAAATCATTGTCACATGACCACAGGGCACTGCAAACAACAGTAAATATTGCCAAGTTGCCGAGCGCCCAAAATGTGGTCACATGACCAGACGGGCAGGACATTCGAACTTCAGAAATGGATCAAAAGTCCCATAAATCTGCTGTATGTTTGAACATATGCTAAGCAACCAGTTATAAGTCAAGGACTACTGTATACAATCGGAAACTATAAGGTACTTCTGTTTGTTTTAAAAAATACATAGTACTAAGCCTTATACTGATACATAAAGATATGTCTTAAGTGTCATAAAACCCATGAC